ATGCACAGGTTATTGATCATTTGATTTTTTATGCTTTTAAAACTCAAAAAATTATGATCATTTTATACTCTATATCATATGAATAAACAGTATTATACAGCATATACATAAATTATTTTAATAAATCCATGAGACATTTAACATTCTAAAGAGATAAATAAGATTTCTGCAGTCACAGTCCCTGCAGCGATGCCTCGTGTGCAGCAGGTCAGTGGGCTTAACGAGGGGAAACATGTAAACAATAAACTGTAATTAAACAACGAGGCTGTAACTGTCACACAAACACAATCAGCCACACACAGGTGTGCGTCCGAGCCATCAAATACAATAATGCTTATGGGAATCCTGACTCCCAGCATGAGCTCTTTTAATTAAGTGCATCTTCCTGCTGATGTGTGAATGAGTCCAGGAGGGAAAAAAACCTTCAGGTTTACTTTCTGYTTGAAAAGTTAAGGAATAATTTGACTTCTTAGCATTCCTTTGGAATTAAATTAGAATAAAAAAAATAATGGATKACTTTTTCAATGGCCTCACACTGGAGAGTTTAATTCTGACTGGATTAAGAAAAAAACTGCCAYTTTGAATGCTTTGCACTGCCATAAGTTTCTTCTTATATGGCTATTTACATACAAATCTACTGTTATTGGTAAGCAGCAGCAGCACTGAGCTGTAGCACTTCCTGTGAAGTCTGGGGTTACTTCTAGCTGGCAGGAATACTAAAATATTTCAGCCAGAAAAACTACGTAACTCAAAACTAACAACGGTGCAAAAGCTGATAAAATATTGTTCAAATATCTATAATATTTGGAAGATTGAAGTTTTTAAAAAGATGATAAAACCTGTTCAGACACAAATCCTTCTTGGCTTGTCAAGGTGGTCCAAGTCAACCCATTTCCAAAGCTGTTCTGAAAAAAAAAAAAAAAATCGTTTTCACTGCTGTTCATGCAGCAGAGAGATTACTGCATGCCAGAGTGCCGATGGGCAAGACAGTGACCCAAACATCGTGTGTGAATGGGTAAATTTGACATGTTGTATCAAAGCAACGTTCTCCGAACTGGCCTTTCCTCGACAGGTTTTACACTGATGTTCAAACTGCTCCAAACAACCCTTAAAAGAATGTGATGAATCTGAGGATAAAACTGTTTACAGGAGCAGAACTGACCAGATACAGTTAACACGTGCTGGCAGATATACAGATAAACATACAGATAAACATACAGATAAACACACAGATAAACATACAGATAAACATACAGATAAACATACAGATAAACGAGGATGTGTGTTGCTCTGCTGCAGGTTAGCACTT